ACAGAAAGCGGCTGTCACAGCATGTGAGTACTAAACTAAGCTCTCATTCACACACAAGTTTACGTTAAAAACACACATGAGTTACAAAAACAGTCGGTTATGTCTGTAAAGGTAAACAGCTGGGAAATAAATCTCATGTTTATTTTAGATCTAAACAGTGTTCTGTGTTCGTCTGTGCAGCCAAAGGCAGAACAGTTAGCATGTTTTGCTCAAACTTTCGCCGTGGCATTAGAGCTGCTACACCGTTGTCGCTTGCGAAATCAAATGATGGTGCCGTGGGTGTAAACTTACAGATTAAGGGGCGGTAATATTATAATGAGATCCCTTCGCCACGTCACCAAGGGAGCGAAATCAGACGCGCTCGTTTTCTCAGACGCTTGCAGAAAAAGGAAGAAAATCTTTTTCACGTTTCCTTGGTTGGTAGATGCACCGGGGACCTGATTATAGCACTTAAACCCTGGAAAAGTCAGATTTTCATGATATGTCCCATCACAACACACCGAACACATCAGCTGCTGAATGCCATTCATCGAGGTTTCGAGGAACTTCCTGCAGGTCGGTACAAACCAAACTCATTTGTGAGGCCGATGGGGGAGCGTTTCATCGAAAAAATTATTGAACTTCCTCTTTTAATTAAGGCGGTGGCGGCGCATGGACCAGCAGGTGTCGAGTCGTCGAACACGAGCCACTTCATGTCAAGAGCAACAGGAAACGGAATTAATGAATGAGACGGGCCGCAGCGTTTGATGACAGAATTAGCTGTTGAATGAACACATTCTCACCTGGTAGAAATTGGGCCAGAAGGTGCTGATGGCCAGCTCCACCTGCTGCCACTTCTGGAAGGCCGGTCCAGACGAGTTCCACACGGCGAAGCCCAGAGGACTGTTGTTCTCCTTGACGTAGATGAGCAGCTGGCTGGGACTCGATCCCTCTCGACTGGCGGCGTAATACTGGAATACGACACAGTGGGTGTCGTTCTCTTTGAACTGCGGCAGGTAGAGCTGAGCTCTCTGACCGGAGGACCGTCCCGAGGTGTTCACCATCATGAACGCTGAACCTGATGACAGCAAATCACAAAGGTTACAAGCTGAAATACACGGCAACAGTGCAAACTAATCAGTACTGTCCATTTATGCCTGTGTGAATTTTCTGCGGTGTAAATGCTAACATTGATCAGTAAATCCATCCAGAAAGCAGGATACGTACTCAAGTGTGCAATGGTGATAGTTCACAGAATTTCAATCTACAAATTTTCAATTATTTCATAATTTATATCATTTTTAAAAATCATAATTTAATCATTTTCATCAATAATTTAAATTAGTTATTTTTATATTTTCCATTTTAATTTTAGTTAAAATGTTAGTAATATTAATAATTTAAATTTGTTGTTTATATATTTGACATTATAATTTTTGTTAAAATTTTAGTAATTTTGTTGTGTCATTTTTATTATTTTTTAATATGTCTCTATAGTTTTTATTTATTTTATTTCAGTTTTACTTTTTCTTTTAGAACTTTAAACTAAAGGAACATTAGAAATTTTGAAATGGCAACTAAATAACATAAAATGTTCTAATTTTCTACTTACTTTTTAAGTAATGTAGTAAAAAAAAAAAAGTTGAAGTACTAAAAAAAGCCTAAACTAAAAACATAAACATGTGTTACTTAACATAAAATAAACATTAACTTGAATAAAATAAAATGTAAAAAACTGAAACTTATTTTATTTCAGTTGCATGCCCAAAGCAATATTTCTAATTTCCGTTTAAATTAAGCTGAAGTACAAAAAACTTTTACAAAAAACATGTTATTTGACATAAAATAAACATTAACATAAATTTAAAATTTTTTTTTAAATGGTATTAACTTTAATAAAATTAAACTTATTTTATTCCAGTTAGTTGCCAAAGTAAAAAATTCTATATCTTTTTTTTCAAGTTTAAGGTGAAGTATTTAAAAAAAAACGTTAAAAAACTCAAATAAAATATTTTTTAAAAATTACTTTGGTTAACAATTATTTTATGTCAAGTAACAAAAATGTTTTTATGGTATTAGTTGCGTGGCTCAAATGTGCAGAATAAATCACTCCTGCAGCATCCTGACATTATTATCCACCCCATTTCAAACATTCATCATGTGTCGAGTATGTCAGCGCTGGTTTGTGTTCACAGGAAGTGAAACGCATCACTTCCTCTGAGTGTGTCCGTGTGCGTAACTCGTTCAGCATGAGGTGTGTGAAGTGTTGAAACAGTTAATGAGTAGCTTCTGTCACATCAGTGCGGCTCTCGACGGAAAGCAGATGTCGACTTGAGAGCCGTGTGTTTGTCCAGAGCCACTGAAGCTCATTTAACCCTCATTTAAACTCAAGAAGAAACTCTTTAACCCTAGAAAGCCTAAAGGATCATATTAGATGCGTGAATTTCTCTAAATGATCAAACTGTGTTTATAATTGTACAAACTTCCAGCTTCAGCTGGAGCTTCATGTGTCTTTCTGCTGTCAAATCTTGACTGATTTTTATCAAGTCAGAATAACTATAGTAATATTTCATAATGCATTGTTCATAATTTGTTTAAAGGTTGCATGAAATGTTCCATTTTAAAAAAAATGATTTTTGTTTTATTTGTTTTTTAATAAAACAATTTATTTATTTATTTATTTATTTTCAGTTTAAGTTTATTTTGATTATGAAAATATAATTTTTTCGGTAATATTATTTACCTTTAATTTAGTAAAAATGATTTGCTGGCATCACAAACTGGTCCCGGATAAGCACCAGAAAATTGATGGATGGATAGATGGATGGATATTTGTTTTTTATTTTAGTACATCAAGTTAAACTAAATAACTTGAATGAGAAATGAAGTGAAGTGAAAATAACATTTAAAAATATTTTAATATTTTATTTTAGTTAAAGTTTATTTTAATTATATTTTATTTACGAAAGGTTATTTTAAAGTGTCAGTTATTTTAGTTCATAACATGCAAAAATGTATATGTACTTATTATTATTATCATTATTATTTAACTTTAATTGCAAAATTATTGTTATAGTTAACTGTAAAACTGTTTACAGTTATAGTTAACTGTAAAAACCTTGGCGCCATGCTGACATGAAGCATGCACAGTGAAGCACAGTGAACACAGTGAAGCACAGTTAAGCACAGTGAAGCACAGTGAACACAGTGAAGCACAGTGAAGCACAGTGAACACAGTGAAGCACAGTGAAGCACAGTGAACACAGTGAACACAGTGAAGCACAGTGAACACAGTGAAGCACAGTGAGCACAGTGAACACAGTGAACACAGTGAAGCACAGTGAACAGAGTGAGGCACAGTGAAGCAAAGTGAAGCACAGTGAAGCACAGTGAACAGAGTGAAGCACAGTGAGCACAGTGAAGCACAGTGAAGCAAAGTGAACACAGTGAAGCACAGTGAACACAGTGAAGCAAAGTGAACACAGTGAACACAAGTGAACACAGTGAAGCACAGTGAAGCAAAGTGAAGCACAGTGAAGCACAGTGAACAGTGAAGCACAGTGAAGCACAGTGAAGCACAGTGAACAGAGTGAAGCACAGTAAAGCACAGTGAAGCACAGTGAAGCACAGTGAACAGTGAAGCACAGTGAAGCACAGTGAAGCACAGTGAACAGAGTGAAGCACAGTAAAGCAAAGTGAACACAGTGAAGCACAGTGAACACAGTGAAGCACAGTAAAGCACAGTAAAGCACAGTAAAGCACAGTGAAGCACAGTGAACAGAGTGAAGCACAGTAAAGCACAGTGAACACAGAGGCTGTTAGTGATCAGAAATGGGCCGAAGCGTCTGAAGAGTGGACGGATCGATAACACCATCTCACCCTTTGAAACCTGTGAGGGACGAATCAAAGCCGAGATGCTGAATGAGTCCTTGATTCTGCCCATCTGTGTGTTCTGGGTTAAAAGCCATTAACACACACTTCTGACTCTGTTTCAGCCTTGAAATCTCTAATCAGTACGAGAGAAGTACAGTCTGACGCTGCCGTCATGTCAGGATTGAGGAATCAGATTTATGAGCTGAGCATCAGCCGGATCATCCAGGATTTTCTGGTTGGAAGCTTATCGATTAAAAATATCATGGTGGAACTAATTAGTGTTGATCAAAATAAGTAATTGAACTTCTTTAGGGTTAGTAATTATGATTCCTGAGCTCATTATGAAAGAATTTCCCAGAGGGACTTGAAGGCAGCATGAGCTCCAGCAACGAAACCTCATTCTGCTTAGCTTACTTTAAAAATGTTCTTTCATTTAAAAGTAAATATACTTTAATATATATAAAATATAGAAATAATTGAATATATTTTTATATTTGTATATGTTATATTTATAATAAATCTATTTATTTATTAAAATATTTTTATATATATTATTATTATATTTTTAACATTTGTAAAAAAAATACATAATATATAATGATATTATATGATGCTGAATTTCCATCAGCCATTACTCCAGTATAAAGTGTCACATGATCCTTCAGAAATCATTCTAATATGCTGATTTATTATTAGAATTATCAATGTTGGCAACAGTTGCCTTTTTTCAGAATTCTTTGATGAATAAAAAGTTAAACAGCCTTCATTCAAAATATAAATCTTTTCCAACAATATAAATATTTGCTATCACTTCTTAACAATTTAACATATCCTTGCTGAATAAAAGTTTTAATTTCTTTCAAAAAAAGAAAGAATAAAAATTTACTGACCCCAAACTTTTGAACTGTAGTGTATATTGTTAGAAAAGATTTATATTTTGAATAAATGCTATTCTTTTTCAATTTCTATTCATCAAAGAATCCTGAAGAAAAGTATCACAGCTTCCAAAAAAATATTACAGTTTCCACCTCTGATAATAAATCAGCATATTATACTGATTTCTGAAGATCATGTGACACTGAAGACTGGAGTAATGATGCTGAAAATTCAGCGCTGCATCACAGAAATAAATTACATTTTAATGTATATTAAAATAGAAAAATGTTATAATAATATTTCACAATATTACACTTTTTCCTGTATTTTTGATCAAATAAATACAGCCTTGATGTGGTTAAGAAACTCCTGTAAAAACATTAAAAATGGTTCTGATCCCAAACTTTTGACCGGCAGTGTACATATACATCTGGAAGTGTTATGGGGTCTGTGAAGACAGCGGTTCAGCGTTCCTGTAATCGGCGTCACTTTCGAGCAGCTGCTCTTTCATTAGCGACAGTCCGACAGTGATTCTGCCTCGTGTGAAAACAGCTGAAGAAAGAGCAACAATCGAGCTCAGTCAGGTGTGAACGAGAGACGTTTGTCTGAGATAAATGACAGCAGGCTGATAACAGACACAGAATAAAAACCTTCCTGAAAGTATCAGCGCTCCCGTGATCAGTTCCTCTGGCGGCACATGATCGCAGAGACACAAAACACACCAGCATCGAATAAATCAGCTGGAGTGATTCCTGCTCGAGGAATTCATTATCAGAATAAATCCATGCACGGTGACACCAAAAACAACTTCATAAACGTCTGAATCTCATGCATTAGACTAAATATCAAAGCAACTCATGCACAAACACTTTACTATGGAAGCCTGTTTCCGCCACTGAATAAAACATTTAAAAAGGTAACCGCGAGTTTTTAATCTCGCAATTCTGAGTTTATATCTCCAAATTGCGAGTTTCTATCACACAAGTCCGAATTGAGAGATAAAAAGTCGTAATAACCTTTATTTATTTTTTTCGGTGGCGGAAACGGGCTTCCATACTTTATAATCCAAACATCTGACAGACAGAAATATATAAAAACAGATCCCATGTTGAACATGAAAAAAAAAAACAGTGCTGGTAGATTAATTAATCCATTACTGATTACAAATTACATAACGAAAAAATTAATCTGTTGGATTACACATATTAGGTAATGCATTCTGACTACTTTTAAAATTAGAATACATTGTGAATAATTTACTGCCATTGTGTGAATAATATGAAATCTATAAAAAATAACTGTAGTCTGACTACAAGTAGGCCTGCACGA